GGATGTTCAGCGTCTCCTCGTAAATCCGGGCCTCTGGGAACTCCACCTGGCCCAGCAGAGAGGCGCCGTCACCCCTCCCCTTGCAGTCACCCTCCCCTGCCGCCAGGGTACTTCTCCTTTCGTTCCTCACACCTTTAAAAAGCTCTGGCTTTTAAAGCCACAGAGGTGCCTTCTAGCAGAACTGTTTCTGTTCTACCACCTGCCTTCAGCAGCCAGTGGATCCTTTCCAAACCAGCCTGCCTGCTGGGCAGAGTGACAGATTTCTCCTGGGAAAGAAGGCTCAGGGAAAGCACCACATGGCTCACCGAGATCTATCATTAGCCAAATTTGGCTACAGGCCCAAATCTGTCTAAAGATAAAGAGCTGGACTGAACCCACGTGGTGGAACACCACAACTGCCACGAGAGGGAAGCAGCTCCCCCCCTTGAGGAACCCATGGGGCAGGCAGGCTACAATTACCCCACAGAGATGAGAACCCCCAAGGAGGAGTGTCCCAGGCAGGGCCACGCCAGGGGGCTGGGCCCTGCTCCTACCTTGGTCTGCTTCTTCTCGGTGGCGTAGACGATGGAGGTGCAGCAGACCTCGGCGATCTTCCGGCCCTGCCCGTAGAAGGACCAGCAGCAGATCTCATCCCCAATCACATCCTTGATTACAATTACCCCACAGAGATGAGAACCCCCAAGGAGGAGTGTCCCAGGCAGGGCCACGCCAGGGGGCTGGGCCCTGCTCCTACCTTGGTCTGCTTCTTCTCGGTGGCGTAGACGATGGAGGTGCAGCAGACCTCGGCGATCTTCCGGCCCTGCCCGTAGAAGGACCAGCAGCAGATCTCATCCCCAATCACATCCTTGATGAAGAGCACCCTGCCGTTGAACCTCAGGGACAGCTTGTCAAAGAGCTCGATGTTCTTCAGCATGTTGTCATCAGAGTTGCTGCAGGGGGGGACACAGGAAGGTGGGGCTGGGGCTGGGCACCACCCAGACCCCCAGGTCCCTTCCACTGAGGCAGCACCAACATTCCACCACCCAACCAAAACCACTCCTAAGCTCAGCACCAGCTGGATGGAAACACCACCACGTCGTGACACAGAGACAGGAGGAAAGGGGGATGAGGTCCCAGCTGGATGGAGAACTCTGCACCATGGGAGTGTTCCTGTGTCCCACCAGCAGGCTGCAGCCCCCAAGGAACAGGGGCCAGCAGGGGGCATGGGGTCAAGTTGTAAAGGAAACCCCTTTGGCACACACAGAGCCTCAGCTCAGCCTTCCAGTGGGGACAGGAGGCTCCCTTCTGACTCAAGTTTGAAATTAATTGGGGAAAAAACTGAGTGCAGGCCAACCCCAACCTGGCATTGGTTCTGAGTAAAGAAAACACAAACACTCATCACAGACTTCAGTCCATGGCAAACTTCAAAGAAGTCCAGCTGAAGCTTTTACCTGGTGTAGGAGTATTTGTTGTTGCTTCTGTTATAGAGCAGCTTCACTGCTGGCTGTAAGAGACAAAGCACAGATCAGTCACAGGAGGGCAGAGAGAGCTGGGACCCCAGCACAGCCCAGATCCCACGGCACAGAAGCTGCAGCATGACCCCAGCAGGAGTCTCTGTGTGGTTACTGCTGCTGTGGAACTGCCCAGCAGGGCTGTGATCCCTCCTGTGCCCACATCCCACCTCTTCTCCCCGGCTCTCTGCCTTTTTTCCCCAGGGCTTTCACCACCAGCAGCCTGCCTGGCTCCTGCAGCAGCCTCCCAGGACTCCTGAGAAAGTGTCTGTTGGTAACAACCAGGATGGACAAACCCACAGGAGCTCCAACAGGCTGAGATCTGCTCCCCACACCCTCCACTTCAACACCTTACGTGGAGAAACACGTGGCCAGGCCCAGCCTGAGCAACATTTCACTTTCAATTCAGCTCCAGTGTGTCTCAGGGCAAGCCCACCATGGAAAACCAGAGACTGTTTTCCAAAGAAGACCTGGTGGAGGTCCCAGAGGAGCAGCCCCCTGAGCCCCAGCCCCTCTCACCTTGTTGGACGTGGCTATAAGTTTCTGCTCCTCCTTGGAAGAGGTGATGACTGGAACCTTGCAGAAGGGTTCATATGCATCTTTGTTCTGCTGAAACAAGGATCAACCAGCAGCTGAATGTCACCAGGCCTCAGGGCACCCCACGGGAAGGGGGCAGGGTGAGAGCTGTCCCCTCATTTCCCCCAGCACCACTCGTGGCCTTTGCTTCTGCTCTCCACCCCTCTGCAAGCACAGGGACTCAGTGTTCAGGTCTGAATGTAAAAATGTGGCTTTGCTCCATCAGGACACCAGCAGCTGTGGCTTCAAACCCAAGCTGAGCACCCCAGAGGGGAGCACAGACCAGAACAGGGCTCCCAGCAACCTGTGGCTGCTGTGGACACCAGGAGCTGCTCTGGGCTGGCCATGGGACCTACTCACTCTGCTGGGTGCTGGAAGGATTAGCTTTTGTCCATGTTAATTCCTGAAGGGATGGAGCCTTGCCCCACACAGGAGCCTGCCAGCAGCAGAGGCCCCATCCCTGGGGGTCTTTAAGGCCAGGCTGGAGGAGGCTCTGGGCAGCCTGATCTAGTGGGAGGTGTCCCTGCTCATGGCAGAGGGGTTGGAACTGGGGGATCCTTGTGGTCCCTTCCAGCCCTGACAGATTCTCATCTGTTTTAGCAGAGGACTTTAGAGCCCTAATGGCTCAAGGGTTGGACTTGATGATCTTGGAGGTCCCTTCCAACCTAAAGGATTCTCTGACACTGCAGAGGGGACCAGGCTGTGGCTCCCTGTGTGCTCCTGCTGGAGGATTCCATGGAGGCAAACAGAGCAACCATCCATCCCTTGCTGCAAGGGGATAGCACTAAACACCAGGAATGACTTAGAACCTTCTCCTGGACGTGACCACTCTCCAACAGATCAGTGAGAGGAATTATTTCATCTTCACCTCAGCCTTAAAAAGGCCCCAAGCGGAGACCAGCGAAACACCATCTGAACCCCAGCAGCCTCCTCCTGCTGACCCCTGACTGCAGCTGGGGCCACCAGCCTCCCCCTGGGCCCTGTGACCTACCTGCAAGGCTGCCTGGCACTCGTCCACCAGCCCCTGCACCAGGTAGTACTTGGCTTCAGCCAGCAGCTCCTCGATCTCCCTCCGGCTCTCCGGCAGCGGCACGGCCCCGTCGCGCAGGTAGTTCAGGATGGTCCCAAAATGCTTCCCACAACGGTCGATCAGGATCCAGCCTAGGGACAAGGGGGACACCAGGAGCAGAGGAAAAGGTGAGAGAAGGTGCCCACGCCAGCCTGAGCCTGCTGGACCAGGCAGGATCCTGGTAAAAGGGACCCACTCCCCTTCCCCGCGTGAGCTGGAAGGCACAAGGGATTTATTGTCTCCTCCTGGTGTGGGGTGAGGCAGGAGGTTCATTTGTTTCTCATAGTCCCTCAGTCAGAGACAAATGATGACCTGAAACAGAGGAATGAATGCTGCTCCTCACCCCCAACCCAACCAGCTCTGTCCTTATCATTTCCTTGCCTTCTCTCTCAGGGCCCTGTTGCATCCACGTGTGGCTGTTTCCTGCAGACCCCTCACCAGAGCCAAGCCAACGTGACTGTCTGAAGGTCAGCAACCTGAAGACAACATGGGGACCCACCACAACCCACCATCTCCAGGAGATAGCATGGCCACATACCAACAGCAGTGTGAGGAAGGGGCTGGAGCGTGGCCAGAGAAGGGCAACGGAGCTGCTGGGGAAGGGTCTAGAGCCCAAGTGTGGGGAGGAGCAGCT